GGAGCTGTCTGCAGTCTCTTCAGAAATACCTAATTTAGAGAGGCCCCTGCACATGGCAAGCTATCCAATGAATAAGATAAACTAATCAAGGTAATGGATAACTAATGTATGGATAATGCAAATATGCTATTCCATCCATGATGGAAAAAGAAACATGTTAAGGCAGAGATGTATCATGTATTACTTTTTTCAAGTGAACACGCAAAAGAACATGACATGGCCACAGTCCCACAAATGAATGAGGACATTTATTCCAATTGTATTTTGSGAATTATGGATTTACCTTTTCTCTTGATGCTGTTCTGCAAAAAATCTGCTGCAGTCTATTGATTACTTCATCCTGCACTAACTTGGGAGAAGTTAATTTTATGTCTGCATAATTAAAATTGAATTATACAGATGGATGTGAGTGATCCTACCCCAAAACAGGCAACTGAAAAAAAAAAACCCACTAGAATCCTCTGATTGATTTTAAAATATGAAGATTTTAGGGCAAACAAAACAAAGTCCAAGCAGTAAAGCAAAATACCAAATAAGGCTTTGGACTGGCAAAATATTCCAATGAAGATAAATCTTCGTTGGAATATTGATTTTTATCCACAAGAGATCACACACAGTAGAGAATATTTAACCAAGAAGAAGGCAGAAAAGAAAGCACTTCCACCACACCCATAAAGAAGCAGCAGTCACCTAAGTAGAACCATAAACCAGACTAAAAATACCTGATAAAAGACATCCTAAGAGAAGGACTGGGAAATATGTTTCATAGTTTTGTAATAATTTATTTTGACATTAGGAGTGAAAACTTCATTGTTTTTAGACACCTCCTTTTTCTTCACTTGAGTATGTTTATGGTTAAATAAGTTAGAATTTAATATACTTTGAAGGAAAGGAAAAAAGTTTTCCATGTTAATCTTCTTAAATTTCTCTCTATTTTTTACTGCCTTTTCCTGAGGCTGTTTACTCTGCACATATTAGAGACAAGGATAACAAAGCATTTTAAACAGGCAAGATCTATGCTTGTCTCCTTAGAAGGGAGTGTCTTTTTCTAGCTGTTTTGTTGGTTTTTTTTTTTTCCTGCGATCCTGTTTACTGACTAAGGTAGTGTTCACCACCAGGAAGGAGTTAAATGATACCCAAACAACTCAGAGCTGTCTGTCAATCAGGGCTAACCTTGAGGCAGAAGCAGTAAGAGGCTTCAGAAAGAGGGAGGTCTTGCTGGCATTTATTTTGCTTCTTTGTATTTATCAATTGAGAATCACTGGGCCTGAATTGTTGATAAATACAAATGTTTTCTTGTGCAGCAAAATCAAAACCTATGCAAAAGAAGGCAAATGTATTTCAGATGGGCCAGCTTCTGCATCTTCAACATGAGATCTCAAACTCTGTGGCTCCACAACAGGGGAGGGTGGTTGTTTGTGAATTGCATTTGATGCATAGCTAAATAGACCTGAAAATAATTTTTAAAATCACAGATAAAGGAGACAAGGCCTTTTTTGATAACTCTGTGTCGTGGTTTGGAATGCTGGCCGAAAGCCAGGCACCCACAACACCTGCTCATTCGCTCTCCCCCACCACCACTGGGCAGAGAAGAGCAAAGGAAAAAAAATTAACAAAAGGGTTCATGAGTTGAGATAAGGAGCTGGGAGAAAACGCTTGATGGACAAAACAGGCACTACTTAAATTATGAAGTGAATTTTTTACTAACAAAGTCAGAGGAGGATAATGAGAAATAAAATACAACCCTCAAAGACACCAATCTTTTCCCCACTCCCTCCCCACTTCCCACCGACAGTACAAAACAGCGGGAGGTGAACAGGGTGTGGGGTTGGTCAGTTCAGGGTGTGGGGTTGGTCAGTTCAGGGTGTGGGGTTGGTCAGTTCATCACTGGATCATCTGGGGCTGCTGAGGGAGAAGAGTCCTTCCTTTGCCTTGCCGTGGGGTCCCTCCCATGGGAGACAGTTCTCTGTGAACCTCTCCGGCGCAGTTCCACTCTCACGAGCAGCAGTCCACACACGTCTGCTGCATTGTGAGTGCCCCCACAGGCAGACAGTCGTCCCCAAAACTGCTGCACCGTGGGGTCCCTCGTCCCCTGGGTGCAGGCCCAAGGCCAGGCTGTTCCATCTCGGGAGCAAGGCCTCTCTCTCCGTGGGTCTCCTGCTGGACACAGCCCCTTCTCGGCATCTGCCCGCTTTGGCGTGGGGACCTCCCTCCACGGGCTGTGGGTGGATCTCTGCACCCTCTGTGGACCCCATGGGCTGCAGGGGGACAACCTGCTCCACCATGGTCACCGTGGACTGCAGGGGGACAGCCTGCTCCACCATGGTCACTGTGGGCTGCAGGGGGACAGCCTGCTCCACCATGGTCGTCACCACAGCCTGCAAAGGAATCCCGGCTCTGGCGCCTGGAGCATCTCCTTCCCCTTCTTCTCCACTGACCTTSGTGTCTGCATCCTTCACATATTTCTCAGCCACTGGCAAAACTACTGTGTGTCTGGGAGTGAACAGGGTGTAGCTCCAGAACWCTTACAATATATTGATGATATTGTGTGGGGCAATACTGCAGAAGAAGTTTTTGAGAAGGGGGGCATTCATGAGTTTTCAATGTTTGCCTTCCAGAGCAACCACTACGCRTGCTGAAGCCCTGCTTCCTTGGCAGTGCCCAAACAATGCTGCTAATGAGAAGTAGAGATTGATTTCTTCTTTTTTTTTCCTTTAGCTTTTGTGCATGCAACTCTTTGCTTATATTTTGTATCTTTGCTGTAATAAAACTACTTTATCTCACCCTGCTGGCTGTTCACCATCTTACTCTCTCCCGTCCCAGAGGAAAAGGGAGTGATAGGGAGACCTAGTGGGTACTGGCATCCAGCCAGGGTCAACCCACAACACTCTGGTACTATTGTCATGCCTAAGGTCCTTATCCATATAGGAAAGGTTCTGGTTAGAGTAGGTGTAACAGGAATCTGTTCTCAAAATAGGAGCTGGCTATAGGATGGCAAAATGATATGATAGTGATGCTGAATTTCTACTCAGTCATAAACAAGGTTTTTCATGCATTCTTTATGATATACTCAATGCCTTTTCTTTTCTCTTTTTTCCATTGTCTTGTGGTATGAAATAGCTTCTCATTACATAACCGGAGCGTCCTAAGTCTGCCACATTTATCGTTTACTGCCATACATTTTGATTTAAAATAAGAAATTGCTAATGTAGCTTCAGTTTACATTACTATCTTTGCCCAATTTGCAGACTTACACATGATACCATGGACTCACAAGTCAGCCTTTACTGTAAGAGTAAAATGACTCAGTTTGGGCCTTGGAGCCAGAGTGCTAAATATAGTCCACAGCATTAGAGCCTAGTATAGCTGGGGGAAAAAATCTACTTGGGGACTTTTAAAAGGTCAGTTTGKAACAGAGGTGCCTGGGGGGCAGAAACACTTGCCCTGACAACTAACTTAATTCTGTTCTCATTTGAGAAGGGGCACAGCAGAGCTGCTGGGGATGGAAGGAAGTATAGGAAGATAAGACAGGGAAAAGAAGAAATGGACAAAAAGGACTGAGCTGGTTATTCTAAGCAGTAGTGCAGGATATGGGCTATTAAGTATCCATTTCTGTGGGAAAGTGGTGTAGTGGCACTGCAGACACCTAGGGTACCAGCTCTGAACTGTTCACCAGCTTTCTCTGGCTCGAGACTTGGAGAGCACTGTCCTCATCTTTGTCGCTGTTGACACATACCCACCAGCAGCTTCCAGTTTTGGAGTGCATTTGTARTAGTGATGTAAGGCAGTCTCCTCCACATGACAAACATCATTGCTGTAAGTACTGGGACTGAGGGCAGCCTGTTTCAGCACGTTCAGGCGTGTAGCTCACTGGGACCAACTGTTTGGTGGCACTCTGCCCTCATGAAAAATGCTCCAACAAACCTGTTGGAGTTCAGCATGCTGGAACGGAGCATCCTGAAAAGGTGTGTTCTAAATGAAAAAGCCCAGGCACAGCATGTCAAACTGCCCCAGTTGCAAGACAGGGTCGCATTCTAAGACAGTAAAATAGCATATGGCTCTGGCCTTGTGTTCAGTTTTACGATCAGTTTGCAATTGATCTACTTTACAAATAATTGGTGGCCATCTCATTTTAAAACCATTGAATAAAAATGCTTCTGAAATTGTTTTTCAAAATTGGAATACACTTTTGAACAGCAGAGTTAAAACATGAAGCAGTTATAATTTTTCTGTTATAGGCCATATTTTTCAAAAATATGTAGAACAGGTAGTTGGCGAGAGCAAGTCTTTCATTTTTGAAAGGGCAAACCCCCCCAACACCATCTCCATCAGTGACTGTGGTTGTTAGCTGTATAGCACAGCAGAGCCAGGACAAGGTATTAGAGTGACTGCTTCAACTGAGTCCTGCTGAAGATGGTTAGAGAGTGATACAGCCCAACTATTGTGGCACAAGAAACTCATTTCACCTCATCCTTTTAGGGCAGGTGAAGAAATTCATGCAGATATGGCAGTCCACACTTCTCTTTTGTCTTGGTACCAGAGTGCCTCTGGGAGAAGAGATGTTTATTTCATTGGCCCCAACTCTTAAAACTGCAGCAAAACTTTCTGCTGTGCTCAGAGACACAGTTCAGAAAGGACGCGTCTGCAAAAAGGTCCKTTGGATTACACATGGAAGTGCTGATGTGCTTCCAAAGAATGCTATGTACATGTGCCATCTAGGCTATTGATAACAACAGCAGTTCTAGATGCTGAAAATGACCACAGCTCCTCTTCAGAACTTTATGAAAACTTGGGGACCTTTAAAAGGTCAGTTTGGAACAGAGGTGCCTGGGRGGCAGAAACTATCAGGCAAATAGCTGTTTCTTCTGATCAAAGTTTCTGGAATTTTAGCTGATGTACAATGAAAGAAATAGTTTGCTTCCATTTAAACTGGAGCCATGGCATACACTTACTAGGAGATTATAATCTTGTTGAATGTGTACATACTCAGCATACTCTGTGCAAATTCTTTATTGAAACAATGATCAATGTACAAGCTACATCACATTTCATTTGCCACTTCAGCATGAACTGGTCTCTTTGTGGTTTACGGCCGTGAGCTATAAAATCATAATAGTTATTTAAATCAAAATACAGTAACTGCTTCTCAAAAGAACACATTCATATTTGTCTTACATTTCTTGTAAAATCAAAAAGGATTTCATAACAAATGAAATATAACTTACAATACATTAGTGCAAGCATTTCCTTTGCATCTAAGAAGCTTTCAGTTTTCCCACTAAATATGGCATACTTAAGAGGCCAACTCTTAAAATAGCATGCTGCCAAGATATCCCATGAGAACTTTTAATATTCAACACTGTTAAAACTTTCTAGAATTAGTTAATCTGACCAAACTGGAAGTCAGAAAGCCCTGGTTAAATGTTACAGTACTTTTGTCAAAAGGTAACTGCAAATCAAGGAAATGACATAGTATGTACATTAGAATAAAACAGGCACTGATTTAAAAAAAAAAAATCAACATCTGCCCATATATGCCRTTTTGCAAGTCTTATGATTATACAGTAGTTTTTAAGCACAGAGCATACTTCTGTGCCTTACCAAGTACCAATAAACCTGCACAAAAATGCTGATCTACGGGTTCTTTAAATATTTTATATGACAGATTCAAAAAATGACTGAAGGGTAGGTTTCATCACAAACATGCTCAAATTGGAGAAAAAAAAAGAATCAGCAGTAAAAAAATACTGCTCAAAAAGAAAATATTGAGTAAATTGAAAATGAATACTATGTTTAAGTGGGCTGATTAATATGGTCTTCCATTTACTGAAAAACAAAGTAATGTTTTAAAATCAAATCAAACACTGATTTCTTCTGCTGCTGAAATATAGTCATCTTTCATGAAGTTTTGAAAAGAATGTTTGAAAGTGGTGTAAATATATTGTGCAAATCTCTTTTCCTTATTAAGCCTAGCTTGGTGTTCCTTTGCTTTTAGAATGCAATTTCAGCTGGACTGGATTTTCCAAATCCTGAGTGTTTTAAGAACCATTAGTGTCTGGTGGTACAATAAATAGAATAATGTAACGAAAGGTGTGCATAGTCCAATGACGGGAACGGATAATCTCCCTGAAGTGCTTAAGGTGCATGAAAATACATAACAATGCAAATGTTAATGTTTTCTTAGAGCCATTGTTAATTTTATATTTGTTAATCGTGTTCTTGGACCATAAAGTAGCCATTTGCTAAGAAATACTGCAAGACACAATTATTTACTTTATAATTGCACAGCCAGAAAGTTTGAAACAAGAAAGACAGGTTTGGGTCTTGCTTCCCATCTGTCTTCCACAAATGAAGTTCCTGAAAGTGTATAAAAAGCTTTAGGCTTAGAAGTGTCACATAATGGATGCATAAGATACTGAGCAGCATACATAAAAACACGAAAAAACACATAAACTAGAACCATCAGTTCTGCATAAAATCTCTATTTTCTTCAGCTACATTGCTGTTCAGTTTTTATTCCGATAACAACACAAAGCTAAATGTCCAAAGAGTTAATAGCAGACTGATTGGAGCAGTCCTGCCTGTGAACTCCCAGCTCCGAGTGACTCCAATTCTAGAAAATTCAGCGTTTCCTTTGACCTTGCAACAGCAGGAATCCAGCACTACATGTATTGCACATATCTAATCCAAGTACCTGCTGTTTATATGTGGTCTGCAATGTGCGTTTGTGTGTACTTCAAACATGTACCCTTTGTGGGCAGCCTTTGGGAAAAAAACATAATCTGTGTCTTCAAGGAAGTTTACACAGCGATACGGAAGAAATCCATGGGGATTGTTTGCTCTCAAATGTTTTTAAATACATAATTAATAAAGGAGGACAGTCTGAGGCAAGCAGTCAGGGTCAGAATTGCCTGGTACCAAACACKATAGAAATACATGAAGTGGTCTGATCTCAATTGTAAAAACTTCATAGTTAAAAAAAATAATTAAATACTGCAGTTTAATAAATATTTTTATAACTTTAAGAAAAGTTAAAGTATAATTTAAAAGTTTTTTTATGCTTTCAAGGAGAACATCTTTGCTTATCTATGCAATCTTAGTTGGGCACCAAGTAAGTAACCTAAGAATGYATGGGCATTGTTTGTAAATGCTAGACAGGCAGTAAAACCAACATGCCTCTTCTCAGGAGGTTAAGGTGAATTAAAGGAGTTTAGTGCAAGTTCCTTTTTTTCTTTCTGCCCTTGTTCTTTTCCATATCAGAAGTAAATCAAGTAACTTGRAAAATTTATGTGAACACTAAACAGAAATGTCCTTTGGATTCAGACTAGAAGTTAATAGTTTACATCAATACTACTGTCAATCACACTGGTCAGAAGTGAGGTTCTTTATGGTATTCTCTTAATCTAACTCCTGTTCTACATTTATATTGCTTCACTGGAACTCAAATATTTCCAGTCACATTCCTAAAGGGACTTTGCCCTTGAATATTTCCTTTCGGGCATGTGCAAATGCATTTTGTATAGAAACCTGCCACTGTGGTGAGCACAAAAAAGAATGAGACAACTCAAGTCCATTGAAYGCTGCCATTGCTCACAAGTTGGTTGTAAAATCTGAAGTCCATTAATAAGCACAYATATTTTTTTAATAACCACAGAAAGGTAACTATGGAGGCTTCTCTGCAACACCTCTGTAAGTCATAGGGCATTCCTGTCCTACACTGCTACTGAGGCTCTGCACTTTAACCTGAGGAAGTTGACATAAGACCTCAGTTCATTATCAAGGGTTCTTTTAGGTACCTGCAACATTGACTTTGTCTGGTCTTGATTACCCATGCAGTAAATATAACTGACTGCCCACAAGAGAGACCTTATGGAGATGTGGCTGTTTTTGTTGAAATGTCCGGAGAGCCATCCACGCATCATCTCCCCATAGACCTAAGCAACTTCTTTTTCTGCAATACACTTGATTCCAGTTATACTACAATCCTTCTTAAAAACTATAAGGTGATAGTTTGTTCATTAGTTCCAAATTAAATGTGTCAGGTAATWAAGTAATATTCTATCAACCCTATACAAACTCCATAAGTACTTTCTTTCCAGATTCACTGCAGAGAAGGTCTTTTTTATTGTCTGTTTGCAWGAGAAATTATCACTTCCCTTCCACTCCTGGCATTTCCTGGCAGAAATGTTGATCCTTTTTAACGCCACAATCATTGTGGTCATTAAAGCTTTACTGGGATAGAGTCACATGTACTCAAGCAGTGACCATCCTRCATGTAGGAGGTTCTTAAAATACCAACACAATCATATCACATTAAACAGTTTGCATGACTGTCATTTTAATTTCATAGGACACTTGATTGTTTTTTTTTCCAGTTTGGATACGATACTCTCAAATTGATGCTTATATATGAATTTAGGCTTGATCTTCAGAATATCAATTTGCTCAAAATTAACAAGCCAAATAAAAGGGTATTTGCCATTTCAGCCTTGTCATCAACTGATTACTGGCATTTACAGGACTGTTATGGAACCTGCATATCTTCTGTTAAGGTAGTACATTGTTACTGCTTCCAAATTACTTCAAAACAAGACATCTCAYGTATTTGCCGCTGTTTGCCATATAAACTTCTGGCAAGGTAGAAAATGCTAAAATGCTTGCAAAAACCCCTGCAGAGCTGTTGGACTGCAACTTTCTGTAAGTTGTTCACGGCCTTTCCCATCTGTAGTATACTCTCAAATTTGTTTCTCCATGCGAAACAAACAATTGTTGGCATCATCATTCCATGAAAAAGGGAAAACTATTTCCCATGTGGCTAATGAGTGTGGTCTCAAATGAAATGGAAACGTTTTAACTTTCTTTAATAGCCCTCTAAATCACACTGCAGCTGAGCAAACAGGCTTTGTAAATGGGATCTATAATGATTTTATTTGGCTACTGGAATGCTGCCTCTTGGGCAATATTTCAAATTCACAACTTAATATTTGCAAAAATGCAACATCCGGAAATAACGAGAGTGAAGGAAGAAGATGGAAACCAGATTTATATTTAGTAAGTTCAAGTGTCCTACATCAAAGACTACCAGTGACTTCCAGGAGGCCACTACAGGTGACTCCAGCCTAGAAAATGCTGAGGTAAATGTTTCTTGGAAATACTCCTAATCAAAAAGAGCAATTAATATTAATGTAATAGCAATTACTCTGCCATACATCATGGTAAACTAAACTCAAACTGAGAAGAAAGTGCCAAATAATCCACATACATGCTTTTGCTATGATAGTCTCCAGGTAAGGCTTAGCGGCAAGTACAATATGTATTTTTAAAAGAGCTCCACCTGATTTTCCTGCTATGCATAGATTCAGGAGTAACTATCATACATGGCTTTCATATATAACACATGTATTTTTGTCATTTGCCAATGCTGTGTCATCAGAACTGAGTTCAGCAGAAGGCTCAAGAGGGGGCTCTGCAGGACGTGCTGGTGTTTGAGGAGTGTCTTCTTCCTTGGTGTCCAACTGCATGCTTTCCTGTGACTGACCATCCATGCAGTCCTTTTTGGACAATGGGTGAACGGACACTTTTATTGCAATCTGTTGAGGTGGCTCATGCAGTGACGATGCGTCCGAGTCAGCTGTGGGAGATTCACTGCGTGTCAAAGCATTTGGGATCATATAAAGCTCATCTGTTTCAGTGGTTTCCTGGCCTTCTGCTGTCTGCCGTACAAAATTCTGTCCTTGCTCCTCCAGACCGACAACCTCCATAATTTCTTCCATTATAGTCCTGCAGTTCATGATGAGAGGTGGCAAAGGTACGCTCCGAGCAAGCTCTTCAATRTAGCGAGCAAATTCCATGGTCTTGAACTGGGTCACTTTGGCAAGCTCGAGCGTTTTGGCCGATGTGATAATTGGGATACGCTTCGCAATCTCAAAGGCCTTCTGAAGTTTCTCTGCCCCTTCTGTTCTGAAGAATTCATTGATTGCTTTCTCGGTTTTCTTCAGATGACTGCTCATCATACATAACCGAGTAATGTTCAGTATCATAACAATGGTAAAAGCTACAAGGCAGACAATCATGTAATAGATTCCCATATCTCCAGAAGTAAAAACAACCCTCAGCGTCACAGTATTGTTAACACTGCCGTACGTATTAGATGCGACACACGTGTATTTACCTCTGTCTTCAAATGACACGCGGGTAATGTTTAGTAGCCCATTGTCAAGAAACCACCATTTTCCTGTTGGAGAGGAAACAGAGTAACTTTGAAGTTTGTTCATATGATCAGCATAGTTTTAAACATCAGATCTATCAAACTGGCTTCAGGTTTTGGAAGAAGGAAATAATGTTAACAAAAGGACAAAGAATTTACCATCATATGCTACTATCAAATCCCWGACATCAACTGTGGATAAGGAGAGCATGCCCTAAAAGAGTCTCATTAAAAAAATGCTAATATTCATAACATCTATCTAAATATTGTGGTCAGTTAAATCATAAAGATAGGACTACTTATTCCAGAAAGCCTCCCAAACACAGCTCATGCTTCTTTAAAGAACAAGATCAATAGAATTGTGAGGCAGAAAAGAATACTAAATCCTCCTTGTTTTGCACCCTGATAATGTATTTGCTTACAATTGGATTATTTTTTGTGTTTTGTTACAGTATATCATATAAAAAACCCTAACATATCAGACATCATATACTACTTTGCCTGCCCTCTGCAGTGCTGAGAATCTGATTTTGAAGTATGACTTTAAAGAAAGGAAAGTAGGATAGGAGGAGTAAGATAGGAGGAGTAAGATAGGTGGGCATAAAAGGAACATCTTATTTGTTGGTAAGAACCTCTACACACCACGACAGAACTTCTTTTACCTTTAAAAGTAATTTCTATCAGTGTACAATAATTGATAACTTTGTCTGCTGCATGGACACATACATTTCATGTACATGAACACTTCATAGTCTTTGACCCTTGCACAGCAGAATAGTTGAGGTATGAAACTGCATTTGAAACATGTTAAAATCCATCACTCCCGTCACTGCAAAAGTGATTCAAGATTCAGTTAATTACTGTAATTTGCCATTATATATTAGTAATGAATTAAGGTTTTTATTTTCTCAAGGGAACTACAWTTTTTTCAAATATTACTACATTATTTAAAGTTAAGGACATACTTTTTTTTTATTTTGTGTCATACAACTTCTAAAATTGCAACTTTATTATAAAAAACATAAGTCAACTCCAACAGTGTCAATCCTTTCCTTCATATAAAACCCACTCCTGAAAGTGTTCATATGGTGGAAAACTGCCAGAAAGTGGAGCACCTGTGCCTTCTGAACACTGCATACAGGGAGATGTCAGACAGAAAGTTTCCTTTTGAAACAATGACAAAGATTGATAGAAGCTAACAAGATCAGCTAGTACATACTGCTGCTCAGAGGACTCAACTGTTTTCAGTCTTTGCAACACAATCGCAAGCCGCKATTGACAATTATCTGCTGAATGTAGTAATGGCATTTCAATAACCTTCCACAAAAAGGAATGTCAGGTGTTCACCTGATTTTACCAGCAGAAAGCTTTTTTTCCTTAAACCTAACTTAACCCGCTGCTATTTATATCTATTAAGGCAGCTGAAAAAAGACACAGAACCTGTGATCAGAGAACTAAACCTGCACAAAATCYCTTTCACAATCATGTAAATCACAAGGCAGGATTGCAGTCCTGCCTCAGGTTGGTGCATATCTTGCTTCTACGTTTATTTTATCCTTTTCACAGAAGTTCTTTCATTGTTTTAAAAGCTTGTTCTATTATTTTTTCTTTTATTTYTTTCAAGGAAGAAACTGTGGGCAATTCTGAAACTCATTAGTTAAAAAAAMCCTTTAATTCAGAATAGCAATAGGCTTTTACCAGGTTTAAAGCTTTTCTAATTAAATATGGCTTACCCAAATTTTTTTTTAATATTATCTCCAGTAGAAGCCTATGTAGAAAGTATTCCCACAAGATCCCTGCCTCAGTTCATATGTAAAGACAACTCTTAATTACATCTCTTTATCCTCTTACTTAGAAGTTTTAACTTAACTGAAACACTATTTTTTACCCTAACGTAATTCTTGAAAACAGCTGAATCACTTTGTCTGAAATTAAAAAATGTAGAATAAATAAAAATCTGTCTAAATCAGACCTTCACATAAAAAAAAAAAATCACCCCAATCTGCTAAAGTAAGGCAAACTCAGAGAAAAACTCTTTCACAGAGGAAATGTTAGCATGTATCACAGATGACACTTCTTCCTCTACCTCTAGAATAACAAAAAATACAGACCATTGGCTGCTCAGTATTTCTTTGAATTGCAATGCTGGTCCTTTTTGCAAAGTAGGTTCCTATTAATTGTGAAATAATAAGATGCCTTGTGATGTACCCTGGCTCCAGCTGTTATAAATGACATAATGGCATTGAACTGTGACTCAGTGATTGGGTCTGTGCCAGTGCGTCCTGACAGACATATAAAGCCAAATAAGTAAACAATGATTAGAAAAGGTATAATTGCTGAATTTTAATAACAATTCAATGCCATACTTAATATCACAAAGAAAGGTCTCAAGCTAGGAAATATTTCTTACAGAAAGACAGTTTCTTAAAAGAGGTATTGCACTGTTGAAATTCTAAGTCAGTGATGTCTTAATACTACAGCTGCAATTTTTACTGATTTGGTCAAARTTTTTGCTCACCTACCTACATGTTTGTTTGAGCTACCTCTCTTTAGCTGACTACACAAAGACCTAAACTTAGATGCCTAACTAAAGGGGAAATTTCCTGTTAGTGAACAGCAAAACAGTCCAGCACACTAATCACTGTATGTTGTCACAACCACACAAATCATATCTGAAAGTCTGCTTAGTAGTTCAAGTAGTTCCTTTCTCTAGTTTTACTCAGAAAATGAAAACATGCTGTAATGTAAACCATAACCAGTTATGCAGTAAGCTGTTACAGATACACACTGCTGTTTCACATCAAGCTGGGTCAATCATTACTCCTGTCATAGCAGAGTTCTTTGCCAGGTCAGCCATTAGTTAGGCATGCTACCTTGCAACTAAGAGTTTATTTCATCACTCCGTGAACAAAGCAGTCACTATGGAAGGATTACATGAGAAAAACACCTTTCATATACCCACACTCCCCTCAAACACTCCTTAGAAGTGTAACTAGGATTATCACCCAAACATTCCATTTAAGGARAATAAGCTCATGGGTAATTAAGGTCTCTGGCAAATGCCACTGAAGAGTCTTAAGTAAAGCCAGGAAGGCTCAGACTTGGCCTGTACTTCTGACTGCTGGCCTATATAGGCTTTGCATTTGTTCAGAGCATCTCCTGTTTCTCACATTACCATGGCACTATGCATGAAGACAGCAGGCATATCAGGGAGTTAATGGGGTTGAGTTCACACCAACAAACTATTCTCATATGTCATGAGAATGCTCCTTTGAGTGGGTAACAGCTTTTTCATCTATTTTTTTGGTGTCAGAGAAGAACAAAGGCAGACAKAATAAGAAACAGGAACAAACCAGAAGTCTTCCAATGAAAAGAAGCCTGTCTACACCTTCTGTTAATTGCTTCAGCTTTTTGCTATGTGTTGCTATAAATAACACATAAAAGTTACTGTTTTCTTCCAAGGTGTGCATAAAAAATTTATAACCGCCAGCAGGCTTTCATTTATTTTCACACAGGAAAATACCACAGCCAGGCCATTAAATCCAGGTTATTTTTCAACTTGCTGAAATTAGAAGTGTCTCTGGACAGGCTACATCAGTTGCTATTACTAAGGTCTTACCTTTATTCTCCTCCTCTTGGAGCAGGTGGCCATTGGAATTGTACCATCTGTAACGAGGACTAGGACTCCCTTGGACATTGCATTCAATCAAGGCACTACTGCCCTCCTTGACTATAATATGGTCAATGCGGGAGATGATCACAGGCGCAGCCCCTGTGTGGGTGTCAGTGCGGTTGAAAGTGCTGTTACTCACATCCTCAGCAGTGCTCAAAGCTGCTAATAAGATGACAAGGCGCGTGGTAGGCAGAAAGTACAAAAAGTGGTGGCTATTCAGTATGTCCATTTTCCTTCAGTGGTGTACACGTCTGGCTGGGAACTGATTCTGTGGAATGCAGGTCCTTGAGGTGAGCAGGTGACAGGAGAGTTCTACTTTGATCTGTGCAATATGATGTTTAAAATATCCTATWAAAWAAATAAATAAATAAATATGTACAGTGAGACTGCATGTATAAACAATCCATTAGATGTGCTCTTTTAAGACAGTGGCAGATCCATTAATGCATTTCACAATCATCAGCACAGTGTCTTATCTAAATGCAAATGTTATCACAGTCCTTACCCTTACTGGAAAAAGATGCATACATTTTCCTGACAATGGTGCTGTTCAGAGTGGTAGGCATAGGAGAAGGCTTTTATCACCTAGATATTTACCAGCAATTTAGCTACAGTAGCAGCTACAGTTTTATGCCAAAAGTTCAAGAGACTTTTCCTTTTTTTTTTTTTTTTTTTAAAACATTTGGAAAATCAACAGGAAAAACAAAGGTACAGCACGTTAAAAGCTGTCACTACCAGTCTGGTGTTGCAACTCTGTTACATGTGTGGTCTTAAGAGAACTGTGAAACATAGTGTAAGAAAGAACTGCTCCAGGAAGGGTTTTGGGATCTGATGTTGGAATCTTGATATACAGAATTTTTCCCAAACACAACAGCATATATAACAAAACATTTCAGATCATTCATTTTTCTTAAGCTCTTGCTGTCTGAAACAAAACATAGCATGGAAGAATAGTCTTTAAAGGGAGCATTTCATACTTGATAAAGTAATTTCAGTGTTGTTATTTTTAGAGCAGATTGCTAAAGAAGAGTACTTGCTAGTGACATAATTATGGGTAATGTTCCTTTGAGATACAAATGAAGTTAGGACTTTTCCATTCCTTATGTGGGATTAAGCATTTTGCCTGTGTACTTTTTGCACACTCTCCCTACAGTATTTTCCCTCAACTAATCATCCACAATGAGGCCTTTCTAAAGGAGTGATTTCAGTTTCTGGACAGAGGGGGGCGGGTTACGAATGTGCTCTCTATTGGCCTCATTATGCTCCCAGTGAACACAATTGGCATTCAGTACTGACTGAGGGCACAATGTTGGCCTCAAAATGAACACCTTGGAAAATTTGTCTCAAGAGTCCAAAGGCCACAAATCATGTTAAAATCACATCAGAGTGACCAACTACACTGGTTTTATTCACATGTTTCTAAAGTAAATAACTGAAACCTGGTGAAACTTACTACTTAGAGGAATCTATCTGGAAATCAAATTTAGGAAATTATCCAACAAACTTTCCCCAAATGAATATTTCCATTTCAAAACTGTTTATATTTTCTTAAATATACATTTCACCCATGTCTTAGCATAGAAAATGACTGCTGACAAGATCAGCTCCCTAGATCAGTTCCATATATAAAGAAAACACTAAAATAAAAAGAAACAAACAAAAAAATCCCCTTCCTTCTTTTCTTCAGTATCCAAAAAGGAAAAAAAGCAATATTACTATCTTTCACTGGTAATATTTGATTTAGGCTGTTTTCTTATCCATCTTCTCCGTAAAGCAATGAACTTGCTTTCATACAAATAGACACAACTACTATTGAAAAAGCAAGCTAATTCTTCCATTTTACAGGATGAATCATTAATAGAAATAAAAAACTATGTTTATTTAGATAAACTGTGTGCATGATATAGAGGTCTGTCCCTGCTTCAAGACTGTCCTTGTTTTTAATCTGCTTCTATAGTTATTGAATGTGGAAGTATTTCTCTTGGAAGAGACAGAATAATTTTTAACTTTAAATTAATATGCAAATCTCATTTGTCATATAAAGCTATATAAACAATGACTTCAGAAACTACTTACAATCATACAAACCATGTAGTGTCTGTGCTTTTGAAGATCTGTATAGGTACACTCTGTCTGAGTCAGCAATTTGGAAAAAATCCTTCAGTTCAGTAACTACTTACATCTCATTTCTACTACTCCATTAACCTTGAAGACTGACATTCTTCATGATTGCACATATTGTGTCTATAAAATGTTTCTGTACAGTGTCATAGATCTGCATTGCRTCATACAGAAAAGCCAAAATCACATTCCTGGCAAGGGAGCACAAACAGAGACTGCCTGGATTAAGACAATGGGAAAGGCAAAAGAACAATATAAACTGATTAGGCTTTGTGTTCTAATTACTGTCTGTGGCTTGTTATTATTGTATTTGAGTCTATCATGTATTTTTACAGCAGAAAAAATCACTAGCAATCAAAACCAGGTGTTTATCATGGAGAGTAATTTGCATTCCAGAAGAAATGAAACAGCATCTCCTGAAAGGGTTGAACATAAAACCTGTAAAGAACGGTCCAACAGCATATTAGGAGGCTCAAGGCAGCTGATGGTCCACTGATTCCCTTCATCACAGGGAAGTGAGTGGATGTTTGGAAGGTGTGTGAAGGCAGTAAGGTGTTGCCTATTCCATTTACCTGTTTTGAACACAGAGCATATGAAAGCAAAAACTGTACCTTTGTGTAGTGTTAGCAAAAATGTTCAGCGAGGCTGAATGTTCAAAGGCTCGCTTACTTGTCTGAAGCTAACAGTGACTCCTTCATTCTGGCACAGAATTGAACCATAAATAGCTACAGTAAATTTTAAGAACTAGAGACAAATAATTTATGTCTACTGTGTAAGATTCTAACCTACTCATCCTTACTCCTGGGAATGTACTTTCTCATGTGTGTTCCTGGAATGTAGAATATTAAGAAAACACTAAATACCTCTGTAGATACATTTCTATTTGAAATAAATACAGTTTGATGGCTAATATGAGGAATAATCAGGGAGCATTTAAAGTAGAATGTTTGGAATTGGATGCTGCTGCTTTAATATGCTGTCCAGTGAAGTGCCTGAGTATGTTTGAAGAGAAAGGGACAGATCTCTCTGAAGAACGGTGTTTTACAATGCAAATTTAGTCAAATGTTCCCAAAGCAGTAGACAATCTTTCCTTTGGTGTGCATCCTCTCTAGTTTTATCAGGGAACAAGAAGAGATGGAAGAAACCAAAGAAGGTTGTCTTAGCCCCAGCTGACCCTCGCTAACCTGCTGGGCAAGCCCAAAAATGCTAGAGTCAGGTTAGGAAAGCAGGAAGAAGCAGAGAGAGAACTGAAAGGGAAGAAAATATGGTCACACCAGATGCTGATGCAAAGGAAGATTTGCTAAGAATTCCTGTTCTCCTGCTTTGCCATAGGCACAAAAGCAGCCTGAGGGTATTGGGGAACACAGATCTGGGAGCCAGCTGCTTTGTTAAACATAAGTGATGTAATGAGTTATGGTTTTATCATACAACTAAATGGGGAGAAGACTGAGACCAAAATAGGACTGCTATTGATGTCTGGCAAAGCAACAGCAGAATCCAGAATACTGGAAAAGTGGGTACAGTGCTTTCACCCAGGATCTTGGCCACGAGAGGCAGCAATTAGCTGTGCCCCATGACAAACCTGATAAAGGCAGCCAAAATTGTAACATTTTAATCTGACCTAAGTTAGAGAAAGCTGAATTGACTAGATGAAAATAACTCCTCAAGACTGAGAGTAGGGCAGTACTCTAAAGGAGGACATCTGCAGTCCTGAGAATCACTTTCTAGGACCAGATTGAGTCTCAGAGCATTTTAGCCTGAGGTCATTATAAACAAAAAGCTAATTTCTGGTCATGGAAAGAATGTAATCCCCAAAGCACATGAGTTACCTGTTGAAGACTTACAAAAAGTAAAACACTATAGAATATAATTAATATGGCTACATATACTTTTTTTTTTTTCTTTTACTTTTAAATTTGTGATACATGAAATGGAAAAAGAACACCCCTGGCTATTCTGAGTTATCTTCCCTACCCAAAGTTGTGGGACAGGGACAGGCTTACCTCTGAAGATGAAATGAGAGAAATCCCCAAACTCTCCTCCAGAACATACATACAGGAAACTTTCCTGCTGTATTGTATCTGGAGTGACATTTACCACTCAACAAGGCTTCCCAGTGGTCCATAGGTTACACAGGTCCATTTTTTTAATTCCCCAACCCAAATGGTGTAAATTGAAAATATTAATGTAACAGATTTGCTGCTTGTGAGCAAGGAAAAAGACTTGAGTCACATGACAGCACATGTCAAGCTTTTCTTCTAAGTGACATGACAGCCAGCTCTAGCATGCTCTCTACACATTTCTATCCAGAGAAGTCCACTGGAATGTGCTCTAGAAAAAGCAGAGGGGCAATGTGATAGCTTTGCTCCTAATTAATGTGCAACATTGACAAAAGCTGAGGTTACAACTTCTCTGYCCAAAACCAAGCATCAGTCTAAACAGAACAGGACTGATTAGCAACGTTAATCAAAGACATGTTCTGACCGACCATTTATTTTTTCGTGTCATAAACGTTTTTGCTTCCCATACTACTGCCACGAAAGAAAATTACAGTGGGTGTGGGGTCATGGTTGTAAGTGCTGTATTTGTGCAGAACAACATGATGACAGAGCACAAAAGAACAAAGAAGGAGGGCAATGATGCRTACCTTTTCCTGGCTCACTCACATTTGTAAGACTGGCCTGTTCTTGTTCTTGGAATAACATGTAATCCTATTAACTGTGAGGTTATTCAATTCAGAAGTGAAGCACAAGAAGCCAGTTTTTTGCATAATCCACAAATTGTGCTCCTATAGCTTTGACATCCCAATGCTATCTTCCTTGGCTTGCAAGTGATCAAGAAAATTAAATAATTTTCATTCTAGTTCTCATTTATCTGAAGTAAGTATAAAGACTAATGCTACAAAACAAAATTAAGGCTAGTTGTTTATTATTCAAAAACTACTTGTTACTTTTCCTAGTTTCCATAGGCAATGCTTTTAAAGAGTGGGTAAAAGTGAAAGTTAAAAGTGAAAGGTTTTAGTGAAACAGGAATACAAATGAAGGAACTTAAGCCACATGGAAGGCGAGAAGCTCACTGCCAGTTCACAGGCTTATGAGTGAGAACCACCTACTGAAAAGCTCTTATTATTAGGGTCCAGATATGCAGATGAAAAGAAATGTTACTCATTTGCAACTAGCAGAAAATTTCTGGCTTATTTTTCTACTCATTTGTCAGTGTA